AGGCGCTGTACAGTTGGGTCAGGACCCGAGCATTGGGGGGAAATGGTCAGGGTGAGGGAGGGAAGGGAGGGAGCGAGGAGGGGTGAGAGTCGAGAGGGGAGCTGAAGGCACGGTCAAAGAGAAAGGTCTTGAGACCGGCCTTGAAGGAGGAAAGGGAGGAGGCGGCGAAGGCACTGGGGGATGGAGTTCCAGAGCCTCGGGGCTGAGAGGCTGAAGGCCCGACCACCGATGGTAGGGCGGTTGGGGCGGGGGACGTGGAGCAGACCGGAGCCAGAGGAACGGAGGGTACGGGCAGGTAGGTAGGGGGATAGTAGGTTGGAGAGGTAGGAGGGAGCAAGGCCGTGAATGGCCTTGTAGGTGAGGATGAGGATCTTGAATTCGATCCTCTGGGGGATGGGGAGCCAGTGGAGGCGAGCGAGGGTGGGAGTGATGTGGTCCGAAGCCTGGTGCGGGACAGTACACGAGCTGCAGAGTTCTGAATGACCTGCAGCTTGTGGAGGGAGGTGCGGGAAGGCCGGCGAGGAGAGAGTTCCCATAGTCCAGCCTTGAGGTGATAAAGGCGTGGACCAGGGTTTCAGCAGCGTGAGGGGTGAGGTAGTGCCGTAGTCTGGCGATATTCCGGAGGTGATGGAAGGCGGTGCCAGTTGTGGCGCGGATATGAGGGAGAAAGGACAGCTCAGGGTCGAACAGAGGTTCCTGACTGGCTTTGAGAGGTGGAGAGTGCAGCCTTGGATGCTGATGTGTCAGCGCCTGAGGTGCGGAGGCGCTGACGTGAGCCAATCAGGAGGGCCTCAGTTTTCGCACGTTGAGCTGAAGAAAGTTGTCTCTCGTCCAGGACTCGATGTCGGACAGGCAGCTGTCAGGACATCGGTGGTCGTGGAGTTGAGGGTAGAGGAGGAAAGGTAGAGTTGGGTGTCATCCGCATACATGTGGAAGTTAACCCCATGTCTGCGGATGATGTCACCAGGGGGAGCATATAGAGGGTGAAGAGGAGGGGACCGAGGACAGAGCCCTGAGGGACACCGCACGAGACAGTGCGGGGGTGGAGGAAAAGCCATTGTGGAAACAAAGTGAAGACGGTGGGAGAGGTACGACCTAAACCACTCAAGGACAGGGCCTTGAAGGTTGAGGTGGGAGGACAAGCGGTGGAGGAGGATAGCGTGGTCGACCGTATCGAATGCTGCCGATAGGTCGAGGAGGACGAGGAGGCAGAGGGAGCCCTGGTCACAGATGGTCAGGATGTCATTGGTGACCTTGACCAGGGCAGTTTCTGTGCTATGGGCAGCACGGAAACCCGACTGAAGGGGTTCGAATAATGAATGGGTGGAGAGGAAAGAGCGCAGTGGGAGGCGACAACTCGTTCCAGGACCTTGGATAGGAAGGGGAGGTTGGAGATGGGCCGGTAGTCCGGGAGGGAGGGTTTTTTCAAGGTGGGAGTGATGGTGGCAGTTTTTAAGAGAATGGGAACAGAGCCAGAGGAGAGGGACAGGTTGACGATGTCTGTGATATGTGGGGCAAGGAGGTGGAGCTGGGAGATAAGGAGTGGAGTGGGGATGGGGTCAAGGGAGCAGGTGGTGGGTTTCAGGGATAGGATGAGTTTGGTGACAGAGGGTGGGGAAACGGGTACGAAGGTGTGTAGGGGAGGATGGGTAGGAGTCGCAGTGTGGGAGGGAGGGGGTGGGGGGGTGGATGTTGGAGGGGAAGTGACCGCGGAGCGGATTCCCTTGATCTTGGATTCAAGGAAATCCAGCATCTCCTCGCAGTGAAGGTTGGAGGAGATGACCAGCGCGGGGTGGCGGGGGGGACGGAGGAGTCGGGATGTGGTAGAAAACAGTAGCCTGGGGTTGCTCTTCGCCTCCAGGATTATCCTGGAGTAGAAGGACGACTTGGCCGAGGCTAGAGTGGAGCGGTAGATTTTGAGGAGGTCCATGGATCCATGGATTGAGTGACCACATTTTTTTTGAGGGGAGGGTATTATTACACCCGGAAAGTGACCCCCCCCCTCCCCCCCATCAACTAACAACTCGTTTAAGAATTGCTTTGGAAGGGAATCTGTCACCGGTATCGATCCCGAATTGCTGGCTGTCTCCTTTCCTCTCTGGTATCACTCCCTGTTAACCTGCGCTCTCAACAACAACAACAACAACAACAAGATTCCATTTATAAAGCGCCTTTCACGTCAGGAGGACGTCCCAAGGTGCTGCACAGTTGGGTCAGGACCTGAGCAGGGGGGAAATGGTCAGGGTGAGGGGAGGGAAGGGAGGGAGCGAGGAGGGGGGAAATGGTCAGGGTGAGGGAGGGAAGGGAGGGAGCGAGGAGGGGGAAGAGAGTCGAGAGGGGAGCTGAAGGCACGGTCAAAGTGAAAGGTTTTGAGACCGGCCTTGAAGGAGGAGAGGGAGGAAGCGGTGAAGGCACTGGGGGATGGAGTTCCAGAGCCTCGGGGCTGAGAGGCTGAAGGTCCGACCACCGATGGTAGGGCGGTTGGGGCGGGGGACGACACCCTCTCTGTCGCTCTTACATCCTGTCCACAACGCTCCTCTCACAACACCCCTGACCCAGACACACCACTGGCTGACTGTAGGCACTGCTCACCACTGGCTGACTGTAGCCAGCGCTCACCACTGGCTGACTGTAGGCACTGCTCACCACTGGCTGACTGTAGCCAGCGCTCACCACTGGCTGACTGTAGGCACTGCTCACCACCGGCTGACTGTAGGCACTGCTCACCACTGGCTGACTGTAGGCACTGCTCACCACTGGCTGACTGTAGCCAGCGCTCACCACCGGCTGACTGTAGCCAGCGCTCACCACTGGCTGACTGTAGGCACTGCTCACCACTGGCTGACTGTAGCCAGCGCTCACCACTGGCTGACTGTAGGCACTGCTCACCACTGGCTGACTGTAGGCACTGCTCACCACTGGCTGACTGTAGCCAGCGCTCACCACCGGCTGACTGTAGGCACTGCTCACCACTGGCTGACTGTAGCCAGCGCTCACCACTGGCTGACTGTAGCCAGCGCTCACCACTGGCTGACTGTAGCCAGCGCTCACCACTGTTGTACCCGGTCGCTGAAGGCCATCTCCCACTGCTCTGCTCTGCACTACACTGCACTGCAGCAGGTCCTGGGAATCACTTTGAGACGTCTCCATGCCGGGGCTGCCTTTGTGCTGGTGATTTTCTGCCCCAGGGATGGTTGACGGAAACGGCCACCTGCACGTCTGACATCTCTCTTTTTCTCTCTCTCATTCTATCTCTCTCTCTCTCTCTCTCTCTCGCTTTCTTTCTCTCTCCGATCCTTTCTCTCTCTCGTTTTTCTCTCTCTCTCATTCTTTCTCGCTCATTCTTTCTCCCTCTCGTTCTTTCTCTCCCGTTCTCTCTCTCTCTTTGTTTCTCTCTTTCTTCGTCCCTCTTATCTTTCTCTTTATCTCCCTTCCCCTCGCTCTCTCGCTCTCTCGCTCTCTCTCTCACACACACAGTGTCTATCTTGCTCTGCCGTTGACTGCGGTGTTGAGCACTTGCCATGGCAACCCCGAGGCTGTGAGCTATGTATAGCGCAGGGAGAGCACTCGGTGACCCCCCCACCCCCCCCACCCCTCGGCCAGTCCAGCCTGTACCTCCCCGGCTCCCGGTGCAACTAAACAGCCAACAATTACCAGCCCGGCTCCTCACGTCCCCACGTCAACAGCTTACAATAATAATAATAATAATCCTTGCATTTGATATAGCGCTTTTCACGTCGGGAGGACGTCCCAAAGCGCTTCACAGAACACACTGTCAAGTGAATTGACTGTATATTTGTGGGCGAACGCGGCAGCCAATTGCGCACAGCAATGTCCACAAACAGTCGTAGATTGAAAATGACCAATTTATTATTGTTTTTGGTTTTGGAGGGATTATTATTAGGCTCTGTGTAGAGTAAGGAAACTTGCCCAAGGTTTCGCCCTCTGCCTGGAATTGAACTCAGGTCTCTCGCTTGCAAAGCGAGTGCTCTAACCACTGAGCCACAGGACTCCACAACACAGCGTCTTTCACGTCGGTAGGACGTCCCAAGGCGCTGGACAGTCAGGGATTTGCACCCGAGCTGGGGTTTGGGACCAGGAGGGGTGGAGAGGACAGGGAGGGTGGGGGTAGGAGAGTGGCCGAAGGCTCGGTCGAAGAGGAGGGTCTTGAGACGGGTCTTGAAGGAGGCGAGAGAGGGAGCGAGGCCAAGGGGTTGTGAGATGGAGTTCCAAAGGTTGGGGGCAGAGAGAGGCTGAAGGCCCGACCGCCGATGTTGCTGAACGGAGGGAGCGGACACGTTGCTATGGCCAAGCACGCACCAAGCGCTTCACATGGAATCCCTGTGAGGTGTAGTGACTGTGTGTTCTGCAGGCGAAACGCAGCAGCCAGTTTGCTCGCAGCAATTTCCAGAAACCTGCCATGAAGTGAGCAGTCGCGGGGGGAAGGTGTCGTCCTTACGATGAAGCTCGAGGACCCCCCCCGGGCAGCATTTGGCCACCTTTAAGGACGTTAAAGATCCCGCGGCGCTATTCGAAAGGAGAGGGAAGTTTCTCTCTCCCAGTGTCCCGGCCAACAATCCCCCCAAATAAAATTGGTCGCACACTCCCCGACTGTTTGTGGGACTCTGCTGTGCGCAATTGTGCTGCTGCGTTTCGCCCACAAAATATACAGTCAAGCCACTGTATCCTGTGAAGCGCTTTGAGACGCCTCGACAACGTGATAAGGCGCTGCATCAGGTGTAAAGATTATTATTCTTTCAACTTATTCTGCATTGGATAATAACATGTTAGCGAAGAGTCAGACACTGCGTTCTACTCAATGGTGAGATACGACTGAGGTACGGTGTGGAATGGGCTGGAGGACAGGACAGTGGAGGCATCTCTCAGATGGGGGTGGGTGGGGGTGGGTGGGGGTTGGGTTGGGGGCTTGGTGGTCGGAGGTTGATGAGACGAGTTTAATGACTGAGAAGAATAATGTGCTGTTTGTTGTGATTTCGCAG